CGTCCCCCCTCCCCGCTCCAGCACCACCCCACATCATCCCCTCCAAGGTGGGCAACGCTTGGGCGCCCGTCTTCCTCACCTGCCACGTCTGGGTCTTCTACCCCCCCGAGGTGACCGTCATCTGGCTGCACAACGGGGACATCGTGGGCCCCGGTGAGCACCCCCCCATCTCCGCCATCCCCAACGGTGACTGGACCTACCAGACACAGGTCACCTTGATGGTGGCCCCGGTGGCCGGGGACACCTTCACGTGCTCGGTGCAACACGCCAGCCTGGACCAGCCCCTCCTGGAGGACTGGGGTGAGTCGAGGGGGGACAGGACACCCACCCAGACACCTGGGTCCTCACCACATCGTTGCTCACCCCCACAGTGTCCCCACAGGTCCCGGCTTGTCCCCAGGGCTGATGGTGAAGGTGGTCTTGGCGGCGGGGGCTGGTGGTCTTCACCGCTGGCGCCATCGGCTACTGTTGGCAGGCTCCGGGTGAGGGACGCGTGTGGGGACGTACGTGTGTGGCACGTGAGGGACGCGCTGGAGAACACGTCACCCACCCAAATTAGGGGTGTCTCTGACTTGTCGTCTTATGTCTTGCCAGGTCCTGGTCCTGGTCCTAATCCTGATCCTGGTTCATACCCTGGTCCTGGTTCTTGTCCTGGTTCTGGTTCTGGTCCTGGTTCTGGTTCTGGTCCTGGTTCATGTCCTGGTCCTGGTTCATGTCCTGGTTCTTGTCCTGGTCCTGGTTCATATCCTGGTCCTGGTTCATGTCCTGGTCCTGGTTCTTGTCCTGGTCCTAGATCTGGTCCTGGTCCTAGATCTGGTTCTGGTTCATATCCTGGCCCTGATTCATGTCCTGGTCCTGGTCCTGGATCTGGTCCTGGTTCACATCCTGGTTCATGTCCTGGTCCTAGATCTGCTCCTGGTCCTGGTCTTGGTTCATCTCCTGGTCCTGGTTCATGTCCTGGTCCTGGATCCGGTCCCAGTCCTGGCCGTGGTCCCAGACCCGGTCCTGGTCCCCATCCTGGTCCCTCCATGGCCACGCGTGACCACGCTGTGACCCAACTCTGAGCTCCCAGCCCTGGGGCAGAGCCCTCCCCCCGCTCCATGACACCCCC